AACAAAAAAAATTTCAGCTCAAGGGTCCTGAAAAGGTGGGGGGGGGGGGTTTTATTGTTATCCTTTTTGTTGCATGATTTACATTTAAATTGCTGAGAGGGATTATATAATGCACAAGAATGAGGTACCAGTACACTAGGAAGGGAAGATGCTACAAAACTAATTTTTTTTACCAGCAAGGTATTTCATGTCAAGCTCCAGTCTTGTCTGATCAACAGTCTAAATCTACATGAATCTATGCAGCAGTTCATGGTAAAACAATAAATCCTGTTTTCCACTAGGCAAATTTAGTTGCGCAAATCAATAGAGTTGGTTCATGCGCATTCACATTTCTATCAGAGTTTTTTGCTTCAGCGAAATCAGCATTTCGAACCACTTCTACTTTATGTGAAGCGAAAAGATGTGCAACCAACCAGAGCTCAGGAAGCAAACTGACGCTTTCAATTCGTCTAGTGGAAAACAGCCCTAAGGCATGTCTTTGGTATGATCTCTAATGTTAGCTCAATGGAATTAAACAAAGCAAAATGAATCTGAAGCAAATGTTAAGATAGCTAGACTTATAGTAGTCGCTTTGTAGTTAGTTGCATCATTACCTGGTTGAGGGGGCATAGTATTGTATGCTGCAAAGCCTGGATCCATGAAGCTATTAGTTGAATGTATTTGAGAATTAGTCGGTGGCAGCATGCCTGAAAAGTGTAATAACAGTAAATTATAAATCAATTCTTTAGCTAAGTAAACTATTTCTACATTATGCTGTAATGTCAGTAGTGTATATAATAAGCAGCGCTTGATTTAACTTCCCTTGATGACTAGCCCACTGAGCTAGTTTACTATATATTTCACAAGCCTATTGGCTATTTTACTAGCACAATCATTGGCTACATTTTACATCAGTAACATTGTATTCTTGGCCAAGAATATTTGAAGCAATAGTTTATAACTGATCACTGGCCCACCGGGCTAGTAATAAGGTAGGTTTACTAGCCCAGAGGAGTTTTTACTAGACACTGTATGATGGACTAATACTTAAATTTAGTACTAAATTGAGCCCTGACAATATTAAAGCATGCAAGAATTTTATAGGAATATCACAATGATTTATAATTCAACACAATAAAAAGATGTTTTCTCCTGCTGTGTAGACATTAGTAACAATCATATTAGTTGTCATGCATTGCATTTCTACTGTAAATTGATAGATATGCAATTTTACGATTCATTTCATATAATATCAAGGATAGTATTTTAAAAGATGTTAGAAAATTGAATAGGAATGTTTTGCCTAACAACATCATTGCAGTACCAGCTGATACTTGGGGTCAAACTCAAACCCTAGTGGCTACTGCAAGTTCTATGGTCTAGTGGTTACTATAAAAAAAAATTTTACCAGAAAGTCATGGGTTTTATTAACGCAATTCAACAAAAGGATGCACATCTCCACTCTCAAACATAGCGCATGCGTACAGTCCTTTGTGATCTTTACTGTGGCATCAACAATTCGATACTAGCTGCGAGTACAGCCGTCAATTATTAGTCTATGTGTGCCATACGTTTTATGGTGTTAGTTACTATTTTATTAACTTTGGGTACTTCGCAATGTCTGTTACATCTGATTTTTCTTTACCAAGAGCTTGTTAAAAGCTTCTATAATCTACAATTTGATTTGTGAAAATTTACTGACAAAATGAAAAGTTTTAGCAATTGAAAATTTTGACAATGTTGGACCAAGGTGCACAAAATAAACATTTGAGTAGATACAGAAAATTTATCTATTTTTTCTGCGAAGTAAGTCTCATGAACGACATCGGTAAATTAATGTTGAAATAACAAATACAATTTCAGTCTAATGTTAGTGCAAAATATCATTATTTTTTCATCAATCACCACAAGTCGCGCGATTATGGCAACTAACACGTGCATAGATAATTCGTCATACGCGGACGGTTTGCTGCCATAATCTTAGTGAGTTATATCCTTTGATGTCCCACAATGTGCGTCCTTTTGTTGAATTGCCTTGGTTCAATCTTCATCTGTATTTTAGGATGTGCCAAGTATTCAGTGTGATTAACAGGTCACGTTGGACAAAACATCATTCTTAGAAAAATATTTAAACCAGGACACATTTTTGTAGATTGAATTGACATACTTAAAATATAATTTCTAAAAGAATAACTGTTGTGGTTGATGAAAAAAATAATGAGAAAATACTTGAAAAAGATGTTGGTTATTTTTACAAAAAAATGTAATCAGGCCAGTGGTTATAGTAATAAGAATAATATACTGTGTAGAAGGCGACAAACAAATTTTCTGTCAGTGAAGAACAACAAAAATATATATAAATGTTGCATTAATATCTGCATACATGTACTTCTTACAGGTTGAATCTAGTGAAATGTTGAGCATTCAGAATATTCAGATACAATAGGAAACATGACCATGCTAAAAAATCCAAACAAAACAAATCAATTAATTATATATGGAAGCAAAAAGGTGTACATCCATTTGGCTTTTGGTATCCATAAAAAATAATGCTGTATATATAAGGTATGACAAGGGGAAACACAGTCGGAATTAATAAAGATACCAGTAAATAAAATGATTGCAATAAAGAGTGGAACACAAAACATACTGGTTTGGTAAAATTGCATTCAGATGTTCACATTTACAAAAACTTTGTACAAAAAAAAAAAAAAAAAAAAAAAAAATTCTTGGTTGCACATTCCATAAGCAAATGTAATTTATGTATATACATCCAGACATCAAACAGAGGGGGTGAAGACAGAAAGCTCAAGTACCAGATCTCATTGTGTGAGTTGGAGTTCCACTAGGGGAAACAGAGGGCGAGCTGAAGAAAGCTTCTAAATCAGCGACAGCATTTCCTCCCGAGTCGGAGGCACCTTCAGGTTCCAGAATGCTTGGCGTCCAACTTCGCCGTTCATAACCATGTAATGGCGATCCCTGGCCTGGCCTCACAGTGCTCGTAAACGGGTTGGTTGGTGCTAAGCCTACAGAATAAGAAGCTTTGCATCTACAAGCCTCATTTCAACATCAATAAGCTGAATAACAGCATGATGAAATTAACATATAAATCCTACGTTAATACATACCACCAGGGAGCATCTCATTAATTAAAAAAACATTCACTTTCTTAAAAATATTTGGTAAGAATACAATACTTTATGAAATATATATATCACACCATACCAGAATGAATATAATTCACGAAATTTCTCATATCAGATAAAAAAAAAATGTGCTACATCAATAATTTGTGAGGAAGTGCAATAGCCATATAAACTCTCAGCCATATACTAAATTTACAGTATTTTGCAAAGAAAGACGAATAATAAGGAATAATGCGAGATTTATACTTTGTGTATTGTCACCGCCCAGGAAGCTGTCAACAATACTCGCAGGAGCAGATGCACTGCCACCTATGGTGTCGTCGAATGGAGAATGAGGGCGCTGTGGTACTTTCAAAGCACGACCGACTATCCACCAAATCAAAACAAGTGCCGCATGAGAAGATAAAGTTTTGAAGCAAAGAAAAGAAAGCAATGAACATAGAGCGAAGAAAACAAGAATACAAGCTCTGATAATGATTAAACAAATGGACTTTGCTATCAACTCTGAAAGCTAAAATAATGCAGCATTGAAACTTGAAGCTCTTAGTTACTGTGATAATGTCCAAATTGTAAAGCCTTGAGGATATTCACTCATAAGATATAAAACTGTAATTAACTGCTAGTTTTTTTTATAGACAATCAATTGGAAATTGGTAGATAAAAAGGTAAAATAAGATTATTCACCTTAAAGCCTCATTCCCGGCAAAATTTCAGTTTTTAAGAAAAATCTAATTTTTGTATAATGTTATA